GCTCTTCCGGCAGATTTCTGGTGGAGAGAATCAGTGAGTCTGGGGCCCCAGCCAGCTGGGGGACAGAGCAGTTTGCTGGCAATAGGCTCACTGGCTCGTTGCAAGGGGAAAGCCTGTGATATCTCAAGGCACGGTCTGTCGCTCACGTGTACAAGTTCCCTGTGTCCTGGGTACACGACACTGCCGCTGACCAACGCAGCCTCCTTGGGGGTGGAAAGCCCGCAGCTGGCAAGACCTTGGGAGCCCCATGAGGAGGGCGGGAGCTACATTGTGCAGTTTTGTACCAGCTCTGCTCCCAGGACAGCCGTCTGCAGGTATCTATGAAGAGCTAAAGTGAGGGATCTCCTCTACAGAGCTCAGCCTCCCACCAGGGTTTGCCTTGCCACTCAGGGAGTCATTCGATTTATATCTAAGAACTTTATTTTTTGGAACTAATTTAAGTGATACGTATTTTTTTAAATTTTAATTTCCAATTGTTCATTAACGTTTGTAGAAATGCGATTGATTTTTATATGCTGACCCTTGTGAGACTTTGTGAAACTTTGCTAAATTTACTAATTAGCTCTACGAGCTTTTTTATGGATTCCTTAGGGTTTTCATTCTAAACAGTCACATCATTTGTGATTGTACAAATAGGGACAAGTTTACTTCTTCCTTTGCCATGTATTTATACTTTCTGTATGTGTTTCTTTTTCTTGCCTTATTGCACTAGCCAGGATTTCTATATGATGCTGAATAGGGGTGGTGAGAGTGGACATCATAGGCTTGTTCCTGATCTTAAGACAAAAGCACTCAGTCTTTTATTATTAAGTATGAGGTTAACTGCGAGTTTTTGTAAATGTCCTTCAGCTACATCAGGTTAAGGAAGTTCCCTTCTATTTCTGGTTTTCTGAGAGTTTTTTTGTTTTTTGTTGTTTTTTTTATCATGAATAGGTGTCAAATTCTTTCATTCTGTTTTCTGTATCCATTGATGTGATGTGTGATTATTAATGTCATAGATAACATTGATTAATTTCTCCAAGATAAACCTGGCTCTGGTACACCATTCTTTCCGTATATTACTGGATTTGATGTGCTAATATTTTGTTGAGGATTTTTACATCTGTGCTTGTGACGGATATTGTCTGTAGTTGTATTTTCTTGGACTGTGTTTACCCGGCTTTGTATCAGAGTAACACTGGCCTCATAAAATGAATGAGGAAGCATCCCTTCCTTTTCATTTTCCAGAAAAGAGTGTGTAGAGTTGGTGCTGTTTCAACTTTAAGAGTTTGATAGAATTTACTTTTTAAAAATTTTTTATTTCAGAGTATTACAGAGGTACAAATGCTTCGGTTACATAAATTGCCTTTGCACCGCCCGAGTCAGAGCTGCAAGCGTGCCCATCCCCCAGATAGCCTGCACAGAATTTACTATTTTTTTAGAAGACAGGTTCTTTAAGCTTCAGGCCTCACCAAACCTGGACTCACCCTTGGTTGGGGCTTTGAGTGTTCTCTGCATTCAGAGGTTTCAACATGCTGTTTCTAAGAGTGTTATAAGAAGCAGCTGGGGACTGTAGGCCCAGACAGGTGGACCTGTTCAGCCTCCTGCCCCTTGCAGAAACCACTTATCTTCTGCCCCAGCCAGTCTTGGGCAGAGCCTTCGTGAACTCCCACTGGGCAGCATAGTTTGGGCCTGAACCACGGCTGACTGTGTGGCTTTGGGGAAGTCACTTAAGCCTCTCTGAACCTCAGATGAGCTAACAGGAAACAGAGGATGGCAACCGAGTCTCCCTCAAAGTGCTGATATAAAAATGAAAACGTGCTCAGAGGACTAGAGACTCCTCCTGGAGGCAGGGAAGAAGAGCTTTAAACAGTTCTACGGCTCACACAGTAAGGGGAGGAGATGGAACTGGGAGGATATAAGCAGAGTGGACTGAAGGCGACACAGGAGGACAGCGCCACAGGGAGCGGTGACAGCTGCCATCTGTGTAGCCGCTTCTGGTCCCCGGCCTGTCCTCACAGGCATTACCTTATTTGAGGCCCCCGCGACCCCCTGAGGGGGCACAGTGGCATGCATTTGTTTGTCCAGTGTGTGCTGGGCCCCCCTCTGGACCTGGCATTGTTTAGATAAGGACACCAAGGCTCAGAGAGGTTAGGGGATGTCCCCCAGGGTAACACAGCCATGCGGGAGAACTGGAAGGGAGCCCGGGTATTTGGGGCAGAGTAGCTTTTCCACTGCTGTGCAAGTTGGACGAAGCTCAGAGGTGGGGGACAAACGCTCCACCTCCGAGAAGTGAGGGGGCAGGAGTGGGGCGCACGGGCCCCAACGCCGGGCTGCTCAGCCCCTCATGCAGCTGGGCGGAGTGAGGGACGTGCCTCCCCCCCGGCTTTTGTCTGCCGTCTGCACAGTGAGGCTGATGCTGCACCTACTCGCAGGGGTGCGGTGAGCAGAGCAGCGCCCGGCACACGTGAGTGCCGCACAAACCTTAGGCATCATTATTTGTGAAGCTGCCAGGCCGTCCCTTTGCTCTGGGAAGCCACTCACATAGAGGGATGAAATGATGAGATGCTGGTGGGAACCCGCAGGCTCTCCCACCTGCCCCTCTCGTGCGGGCGAACACCCAGGGCCCGGCCTCGGAGGTGACTTGCCCAAGGTCATCCCGTTGTGCAGACCGCAGGCCAAGCCCAGCTTTCCTGAGTTCCTGCTCCGAGAGCACAGGCGGCCTCGCTCATTGCGTGATCCTGTGCTCCTGAGGGAAGGCTGGCGTGACAGCAGGTGACACAAACTGTGGAAGCAAAGCCAGGAGGAGAGGATCGGGTGTCTCCTCTCCTGAGCTGCCTTCCTGGGGAAGGTGAGCTTCCTTCCGGGAACCCGCCGGGGTGGGGAGAACAGGTGGGCTTTGGAGGAACAGCAGCCAGTCTTGTGTCTCCTGCCTTCCCCTCGGAACTGGCACCTCTGGGCCTGCACCCCGCATTGTTGCACGGGAGGGCGCAGGCCTGCAGGCATGAGATCACCACGAGCAGCCTCCGGCGACGCTTAGGGTCTGGCGCCACCGTGCGGCCACGGGCTGAGGCTGTCTCTGCAGAAGGGACAGAGGCCCAGCAGCAAGGGGCAGCTGGCAGAGTGGCCTCGGAGTCACCCAGAATAACTCCAGGTTTTCCACGCAGGAAACACAGATCCTGCAAGGGGGTGGCCTCGCACAGGGGTTAGAGGGCAGGTGACGGACACCAGGCGAAGTTGGGAGGAGGAGGAGGAACCCCAGAGCCTGGGGACAGCAGCAGCAGTGTGTTCGCGATGCCGGATCCTCCCGCAGTGGGGCAGGGCTTTGCGCGAGATGTAGGCAATGGACGAGGTCAGGGCACAGGCCCTGGGCCTAGCCCCAGCTCTGCCCCAAGGCACTGAGTGGCCAAGGCAGGGAACAGCTCACGCTCTAGCATCGGGGTCCTCACCTGTAAAGCCCAGACCCAATTATGTTCCAAACCAGTACCCTTTGGTCGTCTGTTGGGGACCCAAGGACTTAAGGCTGGAAGGGGAGGTGCAGGAGGCAGGAGGGGTCAGGAATCCTGAACTGGACCCTGACTTGGCTCCTGCCCTGGTGGGGACACTGCGTGCGCGGGGGACCCTGAGGCCTGCTATCCACACTCGGTTCTGACGCAACCCTGGTGCACTCTGGGCCCGCAGCTGTTTGCTAATCGGCTCAGGGAGGAGAGGCCCTGGCTTCGCCCACTCCCACCTGGGTCCTCCCCACACCCTGGGACGCTCTCCTGGAAGAGATTCGGGGCTGGCGTCTCCTGGAGGCAATCTAGTTCAATCAGCATGTCCTGGGCTCATTGCTGTCCTTTCTCCGGCCTCGGTGGGCAGAGGGGTTGTGGCTTGGGGAAGATGGAGGGTAGAGGGGTAGAATCCTGGTAGGGCAGACCTAGGTGAACCTGAGCGTTGGTATCACCAGCCTGGGACCCGGCTGGATAGGCTGAGTTCTGCCCGTATAACCATTTCTCCAGCAGCTGGGCCACTTATGAAGCTAGAAGAGGCAGAGCCTGTGGTCTGAGTGTACCCCTGAGGGTATAGATTTGTGGTCTGGTTCCTGGTATGAGTCTATGGCCCGTGGTATTGTGAGTGGCAGGTGCCATATGTGGGGAGAGCTGAGTTTTGGATCACAGGGCCACCTCTGATCCGCCAGGTGCACGGCTGTTTTGGACGCCTCAGCCAGCGCACCCTTGTCCCCTGATGCTCTGCCTTCGCCAGCTGCCATCACCCTGTCACCCACCCGCCATTCAGGGTCTGACCACCCCCAGCCTCGCTCAAACCACAGATGACGATGTCTGCTTACGGGGCCCCTCCCCCGCGGTTACTGTTGCCACCACCTCTCCCAGGAGGCCCTTCCCTTCAGGCCCCAAATTTGATGCTATTTCACTCACCTACCTCCCACTTCTCTCTCTCCCCTCCCCTCGTGTCTATCTCTGTCTGTGTCTCTATCTCTCTCTGTCTCTGTCTCTCTTAGTCTATCTCTCTTTATCTCTCTCCTTTCTCTCTGTCTCTCCCTCCCTCTCTCCCCCTCTCTACTGACCCTGTATCTTTAAGGATCAGGGACAACAACCTCCCTCCCTCTCCTGAGCCTGGTCCCTGGTTCCTTGACTCTGAATTCACAGACAGGGGCCCAGAGCGAGGCCACAACTTGTGGGAGGTGCCACAGCCAGCGAGTGACAGAACCTGGAACAGAACCAGAATTTGGTGCTTCGCTTTACCTCAAGCCTCAGTTTCTCTACGTGTTGAATGGCGATAGCCACACCTGCCCCGGGGGGGCTCCACGAGATGGCACACCTGGCCGTACCTGGCCCGGGGCCGGGCACACCTGAACCTTCTCCCACGTCCTCCCTGACGGAGCCTCTGGGAACTTCAGAGTGCGGGTGGGGGGTGCCACGCGGGCAGCTCTTGGCTTTAGGGGGACAGCGGGGGACCTGCGGCAGCCCTCGCCCCCGCCCGCGCTGTCTGAGCCCTGTCCCGTGTCTCTCGGCAGGTATATCCGCACCATGTACCTGGGGATTCAGAGCCAGCGGCGGAAGGAACACCAGCGACGCTTCTACTGGGCTATGATGTACGAATACGCAGACGTCAACATGCTGCGCCTCCTCGAGACCTTCCTGGAGAGCGCCCCCCAACTGGTGCTACAGCTCTACATAATGATCCAGAAGAACAGCGCCGAGACGCTGCCCTGTGAGTGCCCCCCCCCGGCCCCGCCCTCCTCCTGGGGACAGCCGCGGCTGCCTCCCGGTGATGAGGGCGCTGCCGTCCTGACCCCGGGTCCTCGGGACGCCCAGCCCCCTACGGTGCCGCCGTGGCCCACACCGCGCACAAGAGCTGCACGGACGTTTCCCGGCACCCGGGTGCGAGCCTTCGCTCACGTGAGCGGCGCAGAGCGAGGGCCCTGGGCCCCCAGCCAGGCACACCTATGGGACGGGGGGAGCCGCGGCCTAGAGATAGCGGGGGACGGGGCGGAATCGCTTAGGCAGCCACGGTGGTTTCAGGCATTTTAAACTGCGGTGCTCTCGCTTCAAAGCAAGCTTATGCGGAAGCTCAGGCAGAAGCCCCGTCTGCAAAGCAGGCGGAAGCGGCTCCGGCGGGGGAGGGAAGGGCTGGACACGGCGACACGTGGGGAGACATTTGGAGGGATGTTATGGGACGAAGACTCGTCACAGGGGGTGAGGGAGCCTGTCCTGTGAGAGGCTGTCCACTCAACAGGTGAGGGACATTCCATGCAGCAGTGAACGAAGGGACTGCCTTGGGAGGTAGTGAGTTTCTCGTCACTAGGGACATTCAAGCAGAGAAGTTGCCGAAGGGACTCAGCCCAGAGGTTCCCGGCTGCAGAGGGCTTGATGAGCATGTGCGATCAGGGTAGCAAGGCGGCTGGGGCCGGGGGTCTGCCGTCTGTGCCCCAGTTCTTCCTGGCTGTGGGGCCTCCTGGTCTCCTGGGTCGCCACCTCCGGCCCCCAGCAGCCGTCAGTGCCACCGCGCTCACGAACACCCACGCGGGTTCTCCACTGGGACCCTACGGCAGTCTGGCAGGGGCAGCCCAGCTCTGGCTTTTCAGCGAGCAACGTTGTCTCCTTACTTTTCCCAAGCTGGCTGGCCCTCTGCGGGCTGCAGTTCCCTCGGGCGCTTATGCAAAAACAGAGTTTAATCTTAGAAAGCCAGTCGGAGAGGACTGAGCTGTTCAGGCTGGCGAGCTCCACGGTGGCACCCAGAGCCCGCAGACCTGGCTCTGAACCCAGCGGCTGCCAGCAGGTTCACCCGTCCCCTGGGGACTCGGCTATCTGGTGAAACCTGTCCCATCTGCTGAGCGAGGACAGCCCTCTCTGGAGGCGCCCCAGCAGAAAGGGGCCTCAGGGCTTCCCTGTGTGGCCCAGAGTGGTGGCCGCAGTCCTGCTGCTCCCGCACAGGAGCAAGGGGAGGGGCTGCGGGCCTTGGACTAAACGCAGGGGAAGCCGGGCCCAGAGCCTCAGTCCCGCCGTCGGACAGGCCTTCAGGAAGTGCGAGCTGCACCTGGGAGGTAGCCGCTGTCATGGAAGCAGGAGAGACATGGGGACCTTAGGCGGGTGCTGGCAATGGGTGGTGCTGGCTGGCATCCACTTTCGGGCATCTGCAGTGCTCACTGTCAGGAAGAGGCCCCAGGCGGCCCAGGGGCGGTGGGGGGAGGTCTAGCTGCTTGGAACCATGGCCCAGCCGGTGCCTGTGGCACCACCGCCCGGGGCCTGGGGAAGCGGGCTGGAGGGAGCCGGCTGTGTATCCGACTCCAGCTGGAGCATCCGGAAGCTAAGCAGGAAACCGCACTGAGGAAGGCAGGGCTGGCGGCCCGTCTGGGCCCTCCCTTCCTTCTCAGGCGCGTGTGCACGCGCGCGCACACACACACACACACACACACACACACACACGCGCGCACGTGCGCGCGCACACACACGGGAGCCTCGTGGATGCCCGTCTTCATCTGCTTGGCCATGGGAGCCCCTGCCTCCCAGGACCTCGAGAAAAGACCCCGTGTGAGCCGTGGACGGCACGGCAGCTCAGACAGCACCGTTCGTTCTCAGCGCCAAGAGACTCACTCCGCCATTGCTTGCGGAGCAAGCCTGCGTCCCAGGGATGTCTGTGACATGCGCATCCTTGCGCCGCAAATCCGGCCTTGAAGGAGCCCTCGTGGCAGCGAGACCCCCTGGGCAGCAGCCCCCGTGGGAGGATGGGGAGCCCAGCGACAGGGCAGTGTTGGGTGCCAAGAGCTCCCTCCTGCCCCCGCGCCTGGCCTGCCCTCGGACCCCCAGGGCTGCTGCTCCCCAGCGCGGGGCAACGGTGCTCTCGTGGGCAGATCTGCAGGCTCTGCGGAGGGGCACCTTTCTCTCCCATCTGAGGCCTTATTTTTCTCAAAAGCACCCCTGGGGAAAGGAGCTGGCACTGACAGGGGGTCACGCTGCTCTGGGACTTCGCCCCAGGGAAGCTCCTGCTGGCTCTCCCTCCCCATGTGCCCGAGGTCGGGTGAGCATCCCCCCTAGTTTGTCTGGAGTGCAGAGCAGGTGTTTCCTGAATCAGGATTTGTGGTTAAATACACTTGGGAACTGCTGGGCTAAACAAAGGTCAGTCGGGTTGAGAATCCCCAAGCCAAGGAAGAGGCCTACAGCATTAGCGGGGTTTGCGGGAGTAAAGGGCGCTGGTCACCTCTGAGCACAGACTGCCTTGCGGGGCTTGGCATCTCCCTGTCACTCCTAGAAGTGCCTCCTCCTCACCAGAACATTGTGCTATGCGAATGGACGCCTTCCTCCTCTTGTCCCGTGAACAGCTGCAGGAAATGCACAAGCTTTAAAGAAAATCGGTTTGCACGGCAGAAACTGGAAGGGGAGAGAGCAAGTGTGTGGACTTGGAAGGGACCCGTTGGTAGCACGGCCTCTCGGCCACACGCGTGCTTGGAGGGCGGCAGCGCGGAGACCGGGCGTGACACCCACCCTGTTACCCGACAGCGGTCTGACTTTGGCAAGTTCCTGAACCTTCCTGTTTCTAGCTTTCTCATTTCTGGAATGGGGATGATATCAGTGGCCACCGTAGAGTGTGGTGATGAGCATAAAACAGCAGGACAAACGTCACATGCCCACGGGCCCTGTACGGCATCTGCTGTTGGTGGTGGTGGTGCTTTTATTGTGGACGCACTTTCCGAACTGGACTCCAGGCTCTGCTAGCGAGAGCGTGGCTAACCGACCTTGCTTAGACGGGCTTTATGATGACTTCTGTCCGCTTTGTACCGCCAGTGCTAGGAGTTGCTTAGTAAGATCACGGATACCATCACCGTCACTTTAATGAGTGAATTGTCCGACGATGTGCCCAGTGCCATCTCCCCACCCGCTAGTCCTCACCAATCGCTCGGTGAACAGAACGATATTTAGCTTGCAACAGGGACTTGCATCCAGCTTCCCCATAAATACAGACTTAAGCAAACTAATAGTAGCATATCATGCAATTATTATGCCAGAGTCCTTTGGACATTTCAGCAGCTGTTCCTTACAGCTGATGTCTTCGAAGTTTAAACAAAGATAAAAATATAGATATAAAGGGAGCATGCAATTCTGACACGTCACGTTTACACTGGTGAGTCTTGTGTGTGCTCAGGCTTTGCTGGTGTTGCGGGCTGTGACGGGGTTTGGAAAATAGGCTGGTGTCGTAGGAAGAGTCGCGGCCGTGTGCCAATCCCAGCTCCACCGTGTGTCGGCTTTATGACATGGGGCAAGTTCATTTCCTAACCGGATTTTCTCATCTGTAAAATGGGCATTTTTGGGTTGTTGTGAAGGTCCGGTGAGCTGCACACACGCCTTTGCAGCTCGTGCCTAGCTTATTATGGGTACTTAGCACAGCCTGCTATCCTGCGAAGATGCGTTAAGCCGGCACCACGCAGCGTGCTGAGGAACAGGGAGCATAACAGGCGTGGTCCCCACCCTCGCGAATCTTCCTTCTCTCTGGGGAGATGGCACAAAGACAGACAAGATGTTGTGGTAAGTGCTGTGCAGCAGACACACACAGTGCTGGGACCAAGGATAATCGAGGCGGGGGCAGAGGGCGCCTACTTTAGGCAGGGGCTCAGAGAAAGCCTCTCCAGAGAGCTGCCGTTCAGGCTGAGCATAAATGCTGCAGCCTTCCAGGCAATGGGAGCAGCACGTACAAAGGCCCTGAGGTAGGAAGGGCCAAGCTTCTTCCAGAAAGTGAAAGGACCCGGCATGGCTGGAGCTTGGAGGCAAGAGGGAGAGGATGGGGAGGAAGGCAGGGGCTGCCATGGTGGGCCAGACGCAGGGCTCCGGGGTTGGGAGTGTTGACAAAGGACGAGTTGCACAGATTTGAGGTCTGTTCTGGAGCGCGAACCAACGCGACTCGGCAGGAGGGCTGTGGGCCCTGCGAGAAAGGAGGGCGGTGGCTGCTCGCTGGGTGTGTTGGGGCGGAGGGCGATCTATGGGAGAATGGGTTCGGGGGATGGATCAAGAGTTGGCTTCGTCGCCTTTCCTTACTTCTGGGGTTTTCCGATGGTTCCGCGTGAATATCTGCAGGGGTTGGGGTGGGGAACTTGCTCTACCCACGCGGTGCCTGCGTCGGCTTGTTCGGTTAAGCCCACGGTGAGGAGTCGTCCTGCTCACGGGGCTCTGACAACCTCTTTCCTCCATTGTCCCATCCCACCCATGTGCCGGGATGTGTGTGCAAAGACACCCACCCTTTAGGAGTGTACGGTCTGCTGCTGGAACAGGCATAGGCACAGGTTCTCTGGGAGCACAGAGGAGGGAGTAATGAACTGTTTCTGGGGCATCACAGAGGAGGTAACATTTCATCTGGGTTTTGATGGATGAATAGGAGCTTGCCCAAAGGAGACATCCGGGAGGCTCTTCAGGAAGTAGAATTGCAAGTACCAAGGGGTGGAGGCCTGGGTGTGTGACAGGGAGTGTGGGCCACAGTGGTGGCGATGATGATGATGATGATGATGATGATGATGATGATGATGGGGAGCTCAGCTGTGCCTACTATGTGCCTAGCACAGTTCTAGGATCTGGGGACAGAGACAACAAGAAACAAAACAGACGGAAAACTCTGTTTTCGTGGAACTTCTGTTTCATGTAGAGAGAGACAGGCAATAAGCAAATGTCATTTTACCTAGTTATTAGAAAGGGAGACACACCGAGGAAACAGCAAAGCCAGGAAGA